ACTTCATGAAGCATTTCAAACAATTTGCTCTAAATTGCTTTTGGTATCTTATATTTTTATGAAATACGGAACATCTATAGACGAACAAAAAAATAAACAACCTATGCATGTTATATATTATTTTGTATTGTAAAACTTTATTAATACAAAAAAAAAAAAAAAATATTAAGAAGAAATACGGATACAAAAACAGAGATATATATTCGAAAGGGTTTTTTTATTATGGTATGTTTCGGCTACTATGATACCTGGGTTGGCAATCGTTTAAATGTTTGATTGGGTTTATAGATAATATTTTCGTTGAGTAACATTTATTTGAAAATGTTTTTTTGCTTTTATATAGGTTAAGTGTATTCCACATCCCAAGAGACAGGACTCCTTAACTTGAATTAGTTTAATTTTAATATTATAAATAAAAATATAACCATTATAGTTATGAAGCATTTAGTTGGTGTACATAATACACTGATTTCTATGTCACAAGCAGCTTTGGAGTATAAAAAAACACAAAATTACAGTTTTAAGTTTTAAGTATCACATTTCGAGTCTGGCACGAAAAATCAATGTAATACTATGTAAATACCTCCGTATAAGTTCGTATAAGAAGAAAATGTCTACTTTTGACCTCCTAAAATGTGCAAACTAGATCCAATTACCTACCAGAGACCTCACTCGAAGTTGATGCTCGGAGAATTTTTTCCACTAGAAACATTGTCTTCAAACACAAAAAAAACCCACAGACCCACATCACATCCAAATCAATGCACTCGTCGCCCCGCTTGGAATCTAAAATTTATAAATGTTTTCAACATCGCGTTTGTTTTAAATTGTTCATGATATTGGGAGTAATTATCAAGTGACTTTTATAACGGAGTAAAGCCGTAATATTATTGAAGTGTGTAAAGAGGAGGTTAATTCAGTTGGCCCCCCCCCCAACCTTTAAGTACATACATTTAGTTTGCACATGTCCTTGACAACAAGTCTAGGGCATTAATTGATATTCCAATCACAACATCGTTTACCAAGCATCTGATACTGCTATCGATGTTGTAAACTCTTGCCCATAGCTCGCCCTATACAATTAGAGTCTAGTGGCGTACATGTGGGGGGGGGGAGGGGTCAACCCTCCCCCCAAGGGACAAAAAAAAAATAAAAAAAATTGATATTATTGATGAATTTTTTATTATTAATCATCCGTGTGTACACAAACATACGTCATAATAATATGACTATTGATTATACACTAGACTTTACCAACAACCCAACAACGAAAAAAGATTTCATAACGAAATTATGGGTGCCGTATATCAATCAAAATAGACATTAAATGTCATCAAATTTTAATCGTACACAGTCAGTTAGTTAGTTGCGTGTGGACATAAAAACATATTAATATTGTCATTATCCCGGCCGACTCGATCGGACATCGTAGAAAAAAACCGATTACGTTATAATCGTTGAATTTCGCGTGAACGACAATAGTACGGTGACATGTATTCTATTTTTATAGCACTTTCATAAATGATCATGATAAACATTTTCCTTAAATAATATTATGCATTTTTCGTTCATCCTGTTATATTCTGCCGCTGGAGAAGTTTAAGTTTTTAACATGAATTTAACTCCATAAACCATAGGTAAATATTTAGATAAGATTTATTAGAGTTTATAACATTAAAATTGTTTATTAACAAAACATTAAACATTAAACATTTAAAATATTAAAATGAATTATAAATACATAATACCGGGTGAGTTAATGACTTTTTTTTTTAACTCAGTTGAGTTAATATGCATACACATATAGTATATATTGTATTTTTAAGTACAGAAGTTTTAGATTTTAGTGTTGGTATTTATTTTTCACGAAATTACGACGTCGTGCATCGTCGATCATCGATAACAATAATATTATCGCATAATATATAGGCAATAATGTTTAATTATCATTATCATTCGACATATTTTAGGTTTTGAAGGTAAAATAAATAGTAATCATGGCTGAAAAATTATAAATTATTAATAATATAATATATATAATATATGTAATATTCTGTACTCGTATATACTATGTGGATATTAAATAGTATTTAACTGCCACGAGTTATGTAAGTCTTTGTATTTGTTTTGTTATTTTGCCTATTCTACGTGTAATGTTTTTGATTGTTAGAAAAATGGGTAGTTTTAAAGAGAAGTTTTTAGAGTTGGTTATTTTTTTTAACTCCTCCCAGAGTAAATTTGAATGTACGCCACTGAATTAGACCATTGATGTTTTATCTTAACAATTTTATTTTACCGTCACACTTGTTTTGAAATATCTATGGTATACAGGATGATTCATCCGGCATGCTCACTTTTTTTTTCTCAATAATTCAGATCTGATTTTTGGAATTTTAAAATATACTTAAAGACTATATTTTCTAATTCTCGTGATTATTTTGTATCACTTAAGAAGTGTCCTGTGGAGATCCTAACTTCTGTTTCCAAATTATAAAATCCATATAGTAGAGGTTATGAAAATTCAAATGGCCGAAACTTGTATAGGTATTTTTATAGGAATCAAAATATTATGATTCTAGTAAAACTTATTTTACTTTTTACGATTGTTATTTAATGTTGTGAAGTAAACATAAACATTTAATATCCACAGGTTAGGTTAGGTAAACCTGACAAATAAGTTGGATACTCGCATTATTAATACAATGTTATTTGGTAATTTTTCAATTCTTTTGATGTTGTCAACATTCGGCATTATTTACAAGACATTTTGTTGAAAGAAACATTGTTTGTCAGACTCATTATTTTTGTCTGAAATAATGTTCGTTTGTCCGCTTGTCTACATATAGTGATGCTTGACTGGGATTTGTGACTATTGCTTTTGATTAAGTGCTTATCATATATTAGGAAAGATACTGGAGGAACAACATTTTAGCAAATCTTTCAATAGTTACGTGTCAATGATTTGGAAATAAAGTGATAAAGTATCTAGTACGTTCAAATGGCTATTGCAGTGATCGTTGTGTTCGGGTATCTATGTGAAATGAAGGAGAAGTGATAATTCAAGATAATATTGAGAAATACATTGCCTCTGAAACTATTTGGTATGGAGCCAAATTTCATATGTTTTACATTGATATCTCATTCTATAGTAAAATATTTTTATTTTTAGTGTGGAGAAATTGTGGTTGAGAGATTTTTTTTATTGATCAATTATGGTTTGTAAATGTTCAAATATGATTTTGATTGGAGATATGTTTAAAAACCTCGTTCAATAACGTTATTACCTAAAAGCTATAACCATTACAATAAATTGCAGTATTATGTAAAAATTGATAATCTTGTTTCAGTTGGGGCATTTTGACTCAGAAACCTTAGTTACTATTATTTTTCTACCGGCAGTAGTCTCTTAGTATAATATATCTATTATACAAATATAAATATGTATTCATGGGTTTTTATTGGTATACTACAGTAGTTTGCCAAAAACACATTTTGATTTTATCAAAAGCTGGTCCTATAACTATTTAATCGATTAAGGTTATTGGTTATAAACATCCACGATAAGTAGGTTTATTGATATCGAACATCACTATTTTCATACTTTCATATAAATTTTATTTATCGATTATCTACATTCTACATGGTTAACTTGAAAATTGTTTTCTTAATAAATTAAATATTAAAAACTGATGTGTATATAATATCTACTGAGTGATTTTTTTATACATGTATTATTTGAAAAAGTATAACAGTTTAAAAAAAAGGGTTTTTTATACAATTTTATATTGCAACACAATTTTCACTTCATTTTTTCGTTGTTATTTTACAGTTTTTAATTTGTTGAAAGATACCTTATATTTTTAATTTCATATTCCTGAGCAGAATTGTTGTGAGAATTTGGAAGTTATAATAGTTATAATTGTCCCAAGTCTGGATGGGCCAAGTAGTAGTGGACCAACATTTTGTGGGCCAAGCTTGTGTCACTATTAACACATACAAATATTAAATATAACATATCAGTAATATTAATCGTTCTGTAAAAACCAGTTAACGGAGTAGAAAAATAGTGATATAAGTCTTAAATTCTATTTTTTCATATCAACCGTTTAGAAAAATGTTGTTTTAAAATATGAAATTAAAAATCTATGTTTATTTAAAAAACTTGAAATTTAAATATATTAATGATAAGAATAATAGTTTTCAAAACTGTAGTTTCTTAATGACATCAAACTATGTAAAATAATGTAATTCGTGTTTAATATAATATTGTAAGTAGCATGGTACTAAATATTTTTCCTCTGTAAGGAAAATCGAAGAATCATTACGTGTTTTTCGGTATATCGCAGTGGAAGAATGCTACATTTTGTTTGGAATTTAATTTAATTTGTTTGTATTGTTTTAATGTTGATTTGCATTGCTATGGCAATAAACAAAGCTTTACAAAAAAACTGTCTCTCGAAAATTAGTAAGAAAAAAAGTTGTACCCGGCACAAGTGACAATGCATATCACAATATATAAAATATAGTATTGGTTGGTGGTTAGGTATAACAATGGATTAAAATAAACTATATTTACACTATTTATACCATATTTTAAACCGAGGCCGTAGGTTAAATCTAGTAATTTTACGAGTTGAATGAGGATTATAATATGGATTGACAAAAGACAAAAATAAACAACAAACAATTAGTTACAATAGTAGGTAGTCAGTAATATTTCATTCTATAACTAATAGACATTGTATAAAATTTATATTGTGAACTAACAATGTAAGTACTACGCTTACGAGATGCATATGAAGTACTCATAACAAATACTGTAATGCAGTAATCACAGAGTGCATTTTGTTCTAGTTCATAATAATATATAGGTGACCTTATGACCCTGTTGCAGTAATACTCAAATGCATCATCGCATGATTTATATTTACTATAAAGATATAATTTGCATAATTATTATGTGATATAATCTTATATTATAATATATATTAACTATATTTTCAACTCCACCTATTATATCTCCGGTAGAATATCCAATCAAAGAATACTTTTACTACTATTTTACAATACACATTATTAGAAACTTCTAATTGTATAGAGGTGCGTGAAACTTGTCATATTCATTGAATATTTGAAAATGGACAAGTGGATTGGAAAAGTTGCTGTAGTCACTGGTGCTTCTTTTGGAATTGGAGAAGCAATATGTAGGCAATTAGTTCAAAATGGAATGATTGTTGTTGGATTTGCTAGAAAAGAATATAGATTACAGGTATATAGCTAATTTGTTGTAAATTAAATAAAAACAAACATAATATTATGAGTGTATAAATATGTATTTGAATAATTGAATGAATATATTTTTGTTCCATATTTAATTTTAATTGTACAATCTTAAACATTTTAAATAAGAAATTTCCAATTTAAATAGATTGTAACTGATTTTGTTTTCCAGGAATTAAGAGAAGAATTAAAAGGTAATTTTCATTACGTAAAAGTTGACTTATGTTCGGAAAAAAATATTTTGGATGCTTTTGGGTGGGTAAAAAATACATTCAAAACTATAGATGTTTTAATTAACAACGCTGGAGTCTTGAAGTTAACTGATGTATTAGGTAAGTTTAAACACTGTTAATATGTTCGTTTATCGTGTATGAAATGTATATTTTACTGAAATCGCATGAATATTTTTTCAAATATTCCATACCTAGATATACCCATGTATATATTTAAACTTAACTATTAACAATATACAATTGTTTCACACTTTCACCGTGTGTATCACCGACAACAACTCATCTTTCTACAACTGAATTTAAATACTAATAAGTACATACCTATATAGTAGTTACACTTACGCAACATAAATACATAATTATTTTTTATTCGCCTCTTCTCCACTATTATCTTTATTCAAATTACAAATTATTATTCTTGAATAATGTTAAACTATTATACATATTTTTTAATGTATTTACATTTTAATAATATCAACATACATAAATATAATATAATATAGTGACATTATTGAAATGTCAACATAGGTATTTTATAAAAGTTCAATTTTAAACCTGTAATATGGATATAATATTCGGTAAATGTAGAGCATTAGTCTTATATTCAATAATGTACATAAATATTAAGAAATGCATATTTAAAAATATTTAATATTCATATCATTTTACAAATAGTAGAATGTGGTTAATGTAAAAATTAAAAAAAAAAATGGAAAATAAGATTTTATTTGTACAGCTGTGTCATTGCAATTTCGAGATTAAATTTGAGCTAGCAATTAGCATACAGTGCGTAACAGTGTATACAGATCTGTTATTCGGTTACTTAATTTGATAGTCCAACGGACATTTCTTTTTACACTGTAGAATCCAGTATTCGACATCCTGATAAAATTGATCAATATTATGAACCTTCATACATCAACATTAAACATAATATACCTAATTGATTTGTCTAATAATTTACTATTTTAGTTAAATTTATTCCTCGCTATTCTATTTTATAAACATAATTATCTCCGTGATGAAATACGGTTATGTAACCATAAAACAATCCATCACAGATTTGTATTACATTCTGTCAGATATTGTATACTTATTATTCAGAATTTAGGTACTTTATTATAATTATAATCGCAATGCCACCACAGTGACATTGTGTGTTAATAATTATTTATTGTCATTTCTACAGTCATTCCTATGATTAATAATTCTTATTATAATATGCAATATTATGCATAATGCATTTTATGCGTTGGTTTAAATTGCAATCAATTATTTAAAACCTAGAACCTATAAATTCTTTCATAAATACATCTCAGGTAGATGTTTGCTAGATATTGTTGTACCTATATTCACGTTAAGAAAAACACGTTGCTTTACCAATGTTATGCAATTTAATCAAGTTCAAAAAATTGATAGATATAACTATACTTTTTGACCGTGCACTATATTTTTATGTGATGGTAAAGTTCGGTTTCTTATTTTCCTCTTTAGATCTGAAATGTATTTCATACTTATGCAAACGCTACACTTCGTAAGTTGTATCAATAAAATAATCCTCATAGTTACATGGACGACTTCTGAAATTGAGTAAAATGTTGGTTTCTTATTATTTTATAACAATTGTTTAGCTGTTCTTATTTCATTATAATTATAATCACCGAACATATGTACAAACCTAATAAAAAATTGTTAGTGTAAAGAAAAAAAATCAAATGAAATTATAAAATATTATCAAATTATTAAAAGTACATTTATTTCACTGACTTATAACAAATTTAATATTTTCAAATGTTGTTCTAGGAGACACAAATGATTGGAAACTTATGTTTGATACTAACGTCTTAGGTCTACACATTTGCTGCAGAGAAGCTGTTAAAATGATAAAGGAGAAGAAAACTAAAGAAGGTCACATAATAAACGTCAATAGGTAGGTGTTTTTAACAAAATATTATAATTTTAATAGTATATAAGATGTTAACTGAGCTCCTGAGAATGGCTGGGGCCTTAAATAAAATCAACTAATATAATACGTTTTCTGAAATAAATCGAACTGTAAAGTTAAATTTAAATATTGGGAACAAAATACGTGAATGAAAATGATAAACACCTTTGTTGTGTAAAGTTTTTTTGTTTAAGCTTTAGATCAAATAATAGTAATAAGAAATGTAATACAATAATATGTTGAAATTAAGTATTGTGACTTAGAAGTTAAAACTAAAAATCTGTAAGATAAAACGATACCTATTGTCCCCTCGGTTAAATATCTGAGGCACCCTTGCCCCTTCCACCCCTATGCCAACACTAAATATAGCGTAACTTATATTAATTAGGTGATAGGTATACAAGTTAATATTATGCAGCCAATGTAAAATATTATAATCTGTACATTATAATATATTTGTGCTTATTATTTATAATACTAGAGAATATGTTTTACCTGGAATATTTTGAAGAAAACATTATTTTTATATTCCTAGGTGCATAGTTTTGAAACATTCCACGTTAAACATTTAAAATAAAATAATTTATTTTTTCTAAATTAATATTTACTTTGTAACTGTTTTTATTATTTTTAGTATAACTGGTCATTACGTAATGTCTGGAATGAAAGATTTTTCAGTTTACGGTTCTACTAAGTTTAGCGTCACTGCACTTACAGAATACTTAAGAGAGTATATGAGCATGGAAAAGTTACCAATCAGAGTTACGGTAGTATATAAATTATTCATCTTTTAGATAATATAAAAAAAATTATTATGTTTATTTTATTTTATTTTATTTTATAAATTTACGCCAATCGGCTTTTTTACATAGGTATAACAAAAATAACATTGTATATATATTAAAACAGTAGGTAATACAGGGGATGTTGATAAGAGTGACAGAAAAAAATATGTTCTATTAAGGCCAAAGATCAAAATTATTATTATTCGACGAGCGCATAGCTCTAACTAAGGGATCGTTCATCAGGAAGTTGGACCTTGAAGTGGGGAGGAGGAATGGCTCTTGAGATCTGGTATGAAAACTTGGAATACGTATATTAATGCGCTCCAGGAGTCGGGGTGCATCCACCTTCCCATGAAGTAGGTTAAATAACAACAGGTGGTCAGCTCTTTCTCGTCGATTTTTAAGAGAACACAGTTTTAATGTATTCATTACTGGTATGTAATTGTGCTGAGGGTGGTAAATTTTAAGTAGAAATCCGGCAAGACTAAGGAAACGAGATTGAACTCTTTCGATAAGTTTTGTCTCGACTTGAAGAGATGGGTTCCAAACTATCGATCCATAATCCAAGATTGATCTTACAAGGGAACAATAAAGTGCAACCAAGCAAGGCGCTGAATTGAACTCAGTGGTATGACGACGAATGAAACCTATAATCTTTAAGGCCTTGCAGGATATATAATCTATATGAGATCTAAAAGATATAGTTGGTGTATATATGAATCCAAGATCTTTAGTCTCTTGAACTCGCTTTAGAGGTATCCCGTTTATTGTGTAATTAAAATCAATACATGTTCTAGATCTATAGAAGGACATGACTTTACATTTGTCTTCGTTGACATTTAGGCCAACTGTTTTACACCAGATCAAAAACCCATCTAATGATTCTTGAAGGACATGGCAATCATTTATTGAAGATATCTTAGCAAAGAGCTTTAAATCGTCAGCAAAAAGTAAAATACGACAGGGGATAGAAGTAAGAAAGACTGTATTGATAAAAATGTTAAATAATAAGGGGGATAAGTGACCGCCTTGGGGAACCCCAGATGTTGTTCTGAACAATTTTGATCTAATATTAAATAGGTTGACAAATTTCCATCTGTCACTTAAGTACGAGTGAAACCATGATAAGAGAGGTTCTCCAATACCTAATTTATCAAGAATGTAAATGAGGTTGGAATGATCAACAGAGTCAAATGCTTTCGACAGGTCCGTGAAAATAGTGTCAACTTGAGTTGATTCATTAAAAGAATCCCGGATAAAGGTAGAGAAAACTAGAGAGCTGGTTGTAGTGGAGCGACCGGGGAAAAAGCCGTGTTGGTCAATAGATAACGTAGGTAATAGAACTCTTTCAATTCTTTTAAGGACCAGTTGTTCGAATAACTTCCCAATAAAAGGGAGGTTAGATATGGGTCTGTAATTAGAGACTATTGAAGGGTCACCTGACTTTAATATAGGAGTTATTTTACTAGTTTTCCAAACAGATGGAAATATACCTTCACTTAAAGATTTATTGAAGATTAAACAGATTGGAGAGCAAAGAATCTTCCTACAATTATATAGAAAGAAGGCAGAGATACCGTCTGGTCCTAACCCACGTACATTAGATAAGGAATTCAATGCTTCAGCTATTTCGTCATATGAGAAACATAATTGAGATGGTAAAAAAGGGAACTCATTTATCTTCATTTCATTCATGGCAGTATTAGGGCATGTCGAAGAATCATTATAAGTAGAAGAAAAATAAGTGGCAAATAGATCAGCGACTTGAGCACCAGTAGCTGTCTGGTCATTGAAGTAAACTTTGTCTGGAATGGAGGGGGAAGTACGTTTGTTATTTATAAAAGACCAGAATTCACGAGGATTAGAAGTTAAACGGGCTTGAGAATGGTTCGTATGTGACCTAAGACATAGTTTCGATTCGGCTTTACATTGGGAACGTAGACAGGAAAACACATTATAATCATGTAAGGAGCCTGTAATTTTATATTTTTTATGAGCAGTTTTTTTATTGAAAAGTAAGGATTTAAGCTTCGACGAGGCCCAAATGGGAAAGAAAGATCTATGGAAGGTTTTGAGGGGAACAAAACGGTGAATGATGTCAATAAGGACATTATGTAGAAATATGGCAGAATTTTCTGCTGATTGATGGATGAGAGTGGTGTTTAAGTCTTCAGTGGTCAACGATGAGGTTATTTGAGTGTAATCTGTATTTTTGAAATCGCGATAGGAGTGTTTGTCATTGATCATCTTAATTGGAATAGGAACAATATATTTAAAAGAGAGAGAGGGATGGTGGCTGTCACAAGGTAATAAGCTGGATGGGGCTTTTTCAATTACAACAGAATGTGCATTGGAGAAACATAAATCAAGGAGGACGTCGTTGTGGTTAAGGACATAATTTAATTGAGAGAAGTTCATACTGGTGAATTGGTCCCCTATTATCAACCATATAAGTTTATTTTTATACTAAAAATAATAATTTTTCACACCTAGTTATTTTATAAGAGTACCTTGTTTACTTCATAGCTGGGTACTTATTTTATTTTAATACGCACAGCTATAATTTATTTTTACGATGATATCAGAAATTTATATTTTCATAATTAAAAGTCATTATGTTTAATAATTAATACTATTATTAATTGGTGCCATTTTTGTTCTAGAAGAGATGAAATTATATCAAATCAGTTATGATAACCTTTAAATTATACAACCAACCACCTAGTAATATACATACTAAAGACAACCTTTTTTTTATAAACATTGATAATTAAAACAATATTCAAGGGCACTCGCACGGGGATGCCTGGGGGTCATGACCCTCCGCTATTTTATAGTTAATATTATTAATTATTTTATCACTTATAAAAAAAACATAGTATGTGCTGTATTATCAGATGCTTTTGACTTTCCTGTTCCATAGCTTATATTTCTGCTGGCGGCCTTGATAATATTATGGTTAATTTTTAAATGATTTACTTCAAAGATATATAACATTAGTTTGTAAAATGTTTGCCCTATATTAACTAGTAAAATAATAAATTTCTCAAAAACTTAAATAATTAAAATACCTAAATAAATTTGAAATTATTTTTAATTTTTAATTTTTACTACCTTTTTATAACAATTTGTATTATTGCATAATAATCTTACACAAATATTCAATAAATTATCACATTCCATTTAGTATTTATTATATTCTACATTATTTTAATGACGATAAACTTTTTTTTTTTTTTTACGTCAGAGTATCAGCCCGGGATTTGTTGATACTAATATGACCGCAAAATTCAACTTAGACAAAGTTGAAGATAATGCAACATTGCAAACGATTGATATTGCTGACGCCGTATTATACGCATTAAGTGCACCTAAACGTGTTAACGTAAGTCCTAAATTTATAAATATTTGACCATTTTCGAGAAAATCTTGTATTTTCACTACTTTATTGATACTATCTAGTTACCGTTACATACACGTTCGACATTATTATAAGATATAACCATGTATTTCTCTTATAATATTTCTCTTTGGTTTAAAAATTGAGTCACACATGCTTGGAAAAATGTTTCGTTAACAAGGTGTGTTCCTGGTAATAATTATAATGAATAACATAAGTATCATACTGTTATAATATGAATGCCAAATGTATGAATACCTACCGATATATAACATGATACACATGTATATATTTATTATTATGTTTGGTTTTTCGCAGGTTGCTGAAATCATTTTAAGACCTTCAATTGACACTATGGCACATATTGTCAATTGTTCATAGAATATAATATCGTCTTTCATAGTATGTGGTTAGTATGTGGTTGGTTTCAACACGGAGAAAAATTATTGCATCAGATATTTACCCAATTATCTCACGGAATATAATATGTTATTACTTATTAAGATTTAAAAAAAATAAATGCTTCATACATTGATATAGCCATTTAATTAATTTAGGGACTCTCCTCGCAAATCGTCGTGGACTGAAAATATATTTATCAGACATTTCATATAATAATAAACATCATAGGTTCTTTTTTAAATCTCCGCCTACATGTCTTCAACTTAAAAGCACCATTTTTTTCTGTTAAACATAAATAAATAAAAGCATCAGCCTTGAAATAATAAATATTTTTTTTCTCATCGATATAATGTTATTTAATTTTAAATTCTAACACTTTTTCATTTTTGCGAAGCAAATAAAGAAAAACGTATTATAAATATTATGTATTTAGATAAACATAACCTAACTAATAACGAATAATGTTGGTAAATTAAAAATAACATTAACAATTTGAATAGGTAACATCATGTTAAAATATATGAAATTTCGTATTAAAAAAATTTATAACTATTTGTTAAAAATGTTAGAAATCCCATTATAGGTTTATCCTTTACTTACCCCGAGAATAGAACAAGAAATATATTTCTGTTAACCGCTTAAACTGGCGTATTCCTCCATTCATTCTGATTCAACATTTCATATAAAATGTTACACACGCGAAGACACAATTTTATCAAACTGTACAAATTCATTAATGTCGAATTGTGTACTATGTACCTAATGTATTTTTGAGTGAAATATGTGGATATGTATATCATGTATTATTATTTTTAAATTAATATTTATTTCATTTGGACGACTTGGTCATTAGTTCTCATAAATAATTGACATTATTACAATTATATATATATTTTAGATTGTTAAATTAATGTTGCACATATTATATCATATAAAAGAAAAATAATCCGAACCCTGCAAATATTGTTCACAAATTTACGTATGCTCAGTTGAATAATATGGTTAAAATATATAAGAATATATTTAAATAGTTCCATAGTCTGACTGTTATTATTGTATACTAGATAATATAATTTCATGTTAAATTATTGAAGATGTCGATTTTTGTTTTAAATGACGTACGGCTTTAACTACAGAGTGTCAATTTTTTTCAATACCTATAACTACTTTCTAGTTAACACTATAAGGCGGTCACTATACAAATGTATACACTAATAAAGCATCGTAGTGATCACAATGCACCGTGTGCACAGTATGACGTCCAAACGTCTAATAATTACTGAATAGTAAATACTAATATGTATGTAATTAGTTAGCGATGTATAGACACTGGACTAGGGGCGAGCACAAACTAAATACCGAGAGTCCGCAGTAGTTGTATTTATTGCAGTGTGATAATATTTTTAATTCAACCTGCAGGAGTAAAACTTTTAACAAACTTATCCATTATTAAAGAGTAAAAGGAAATATGCAGTCCGTAATAAAAGTTGTGGACTTACTTCGCTCTTAAAAATAAATATACAATATATTATCTGGGGCACCCGACATCCATAACTAATGTTACGCCTACATCGATAGGGATCCCCTTGGAACTATATGCAAATACTCCTATGGTAGTTAAACATCGCCAGAATATTAGCTTTGTGTCTATATGAACTTAGAAAAACCACAATAATCATTCATTCTCGCTTGAGACTATAATTATGTTGAAGGATTTATGGAAGGCACTTTTTATACTCGCATGTTTATTGAACCTAACTTAACCAAGTGTAATTTACGATGGCCAGCAGTAATTACTGTCGAAATTATTTAACCATATGACCAAATATTTAAATTTATTTTTCATGTTCTAAATAGGTATATAAGTAGCTTAGGTTTGAATGACCTAGATGATATGTTATACCTATTTATTTAAATTATTGAACTATGCATTCAACTCATCGCAATGGATTAGTTATTATTTTTCAACGTTTGATGTTTAAAACTTTAAGGGTTTATTATGGTTTTTGTTAAAAATTATTAGAACACATTTTATCGGTAATTTATTAAACGAATTATTTTTATGTGTATAGTTATAATAATAAAAACAAATAATAAGATAAAATAAATTCTCATGTATTTCAACATTTTAACCGAGTATCGGATATTTGGTATATTTGTGTTTTAATGAATGACTTAGTTATAATATAAAATTCAAAAAAAATATTAATTTTTCAAACTCTCCTACAGATTAATTTTATTACATAAATTGATACGAACACAGATGTTTATATCGAGTTATGGGCTACAGCTGTTATATTATTCAACAGTAAAAATATTCTATTTATATTTATACGACTATGTTTTATATTTTAGTTAAATAATACAATTCATAAGAATATTGGTTTTTAAAATTTTCTCTACGGATTAATTCTACCGTATAAATTGTTACAAAACAGACGTTTCTTTGATGAGTTATAATTTTCTTACTGCAGACTACAGCTTTTATACTCGAGAGAGTAACAATATTCAATTACGAAACGGAAAAGTTGCTGTATAGTCACAGGCACCGCATCTTGAGTTGGAGCCGCAACAAGTAGATTGCTGGTTAAAATAAGAGAAATTATCATTGTCGGACACGACAATTATATAATTTATAAAAATATGACTTAACGAAGTGGCTATTTTGTTTTAGTTAAAAATATCAATAAAATGATGTATGATGTTCGGAATTAGTAAATCATATTTGAAATTCATTGTTTTCGGGAATCAAGTACAATTTTTAATGAATAGAGACTAAAACGTATTTCATGACATTGTATATGACTCACGGATGTTTATAAAAAAAATATTCTTAAAGCTTTTGAGTGGTCTCGCCGTTCTAATTAATTATGCTGCAGTTTTGAAATGAAACGATTTGTTGGGTATCTACGTTTCATTTTTATCATATAAATCCTTATTATTTGTGTGTAGGGTTTTCGATTTAATTTATTTGTGCTGTTAATGCTTAGATGAAAATGGTAAAACGACAATAATATGAAACTCCTAGGATGATGCTTGAATCCAACAAAAAAATATGTAACAAATATTATTACAATTTTTAAAAGTTCTGGGACCAGAACAAAATCTTGGTGTTTATACCAAAATATCTTTACCATTGATACCGTTTTGTAAACTGTCTTTCAATTTCAAAATTGTGTATCTAATATTATCAATGTGAATAAAAATAATATATTTAAAATTAATTATATTTTTCTTCATGTATAAAAAAGGGGAACACAAGTGAAAGCCAATATGAAAACAGTTGAACATAATACCTATAATAATTATTAATATTAATTACAGGTAGTATTTCCATATTTTGAGTTTCAATTGTATTTTTAAATATCTGCTTATTGTGATTGAATAAATTCGTTTATAAATGTATTGAGTTTATGAAATGTATGTGCTTATAATATTATTAAAATATTTTATAGATGGTCATTATTACATGTCAAACGTACATTAAAAAATTTGCAATTTACAGTGTGACAAAACTCTGTTTAACTTCAATAACCAAAAGCTTGACAGAATTTATTGATGTGCCTGCAAAACTTTCCAATCAGAGTCACGATATTTTTCACTTAGCTTTAAAATTTTTATTTCATTTCACATCTTGTATTTTAAATAAAATTGAATTTTAGCTGTTGACATTCTAATCACGCTCGAGTTAACTTCATGGGCGTTTAATTTAGGTGTTTCAAAACATATTTATGTTTCACGGTTCTTGAACATAATTCATAACTTTTTTGTTCTTTTCAATTTAAGATTCTCAGTACTCGGCTAATTGACATGGAATTGTCTGCAGGGACCTCAGAAACGGAAGTTCCAAAATTGAATGCCACAGACGTAGCTGATGTAATTGTAAATATTTTACCTTTCCGAAATATGAGCGCAAATGGAATAGAATATTAATTTGATTATTTGTAAAAGATAAAAAAAAAATTACTAGAATTTATAAAATTACTGATTTACAAAATTGAATCTTTAAATAATAGTAAGTTATTAATATATTTATGTCACCTTATGTCTGTATTATTTAAGCATCAACTAAATCAATATTATGAATGACGTAGGTATAATATTACTTTTAATGCGCTATCTGTTTCATAAAATACATAATAAGTACCTACTAAAATCATTTTTTAAAAATTGCATTTTATTTGTTTTTTTAGAAATAAGGGATTACAATAAATTAGACCAAGTAGTAAAACGCATGAACATTTTGTCGAGGAAGACACATTTCATACCCAATACTATATATTTGATTTATTCATTTAGTTGGATGCACTATACACATGCTCAAAATATATATCAGTTATTGTGATTGGATTTTCGTATTTCATAGTATTATGATACATTTTAATTGATGATTTTAGAGCCTTTTTTGTTTATTGATTTGATTACATTATGTTGGGGGTCAATGAAAATTCAGAAATACAATAATACAGAAATGCAGAAATTAAGAAACACAGAAATGCAGAAACGTCAAGAACAATACATTTTAAAATTTAACAATTCACATAAAAATAATTGGCATATAACAAACTATAAAATTATTCACGTACAACATTTTAGTAATAAATTGTAACAAAATTATAGAACACAACGCAGAATATAAACATAGAAACCAGAAAAAACCAAAAATAAAATTAATAAGATACACTATACTCATATTATTTTATAATTTCACTTATTATTATAAGCAGACTAAAAATCGATCTGATTTATCTAGGCACGAGCATTCAGTGTTAGTATAGTAAGTTACGGGTGGTTAAAATGATAGCCCTTCATATCTTAAAGGAAATACTTAAACTTAAAATATCGACTTCAATTAATAAATGTACGTGTATATATTTTAAATGATAAAATAATTTAAAATGTCGACTAATATAATAACCATTAGGTATGAAATTGTAAAGTATCTTAAATGTTCACAAATATATGAGTAAACTCATAAAGCTATAAATAATATTTTATAATAATGTACCTTAAGACCAAGCTAATGACTTTATAAAAGTTTGTAAGAAGTTTGTAAAAAAAAAAAATATAATATCTGCTTAATATTTTTAATTTTAGTAGTTATAACATTTTAAGTTATACCAAAAACTTGTT